TATATTGATGAATTTAATTAAATGATTGATAAATTAAAGATTAATTTTTAATTTTTCAATATAAATTTATCATAAAAAATTTTATTTATTACACTCTTAATCTGTACTTTTATGATACATGTTAAAAAAACTTAATTATATGTTTTAAAATATATATAAATGTTGGGACTTATTGTTTTGTTTTTAACATTTTTATTTAAATAATACTGTACAATTACGGGTGCCATGTTGTAAAAAAAATTGCCATATCACACCCTGTCAGCACCACCTAAGCAGAGGTTAACGGGGACAAAAGAGATTGTTGTAAAAAAGTAACGGCATTATTAACACAGAATGGATGATTTGTGAGTTTTGAACTTTTGATTAGTAAAGGGTTGATTTGCACTAGTTTTAAGAAGAGGGGCTGACATGCCACAACAATCAAAATAGAAAGGTTGAATTGCACTTTCTACCTATTATCAATAAGAGTTATGATGTGGAGAATATTTTTATTAAGTTTTTTTATATAACTTTAAGATATTATTAAATATACATGTAATATCATAAGTTTTAATTAAGTAAAAAAAATTAATAATTAGATAATACATAAAATTATAAATTAAAAAGTATTGTACAAATTTTTTTTCTCAAAATCATTTTCCTGTTAGAAATAATTTACAAACCTGTAAAGAATGAATATAGCAACAGTCAAATCATCTAACCTTAACATACCTTAATTTTAGGCTCGATCTTCTTGAATTTACTCAAGTAACTATATCATTTTCATGTTAATGATTGAACAATAAGTATAAATATTTATTACTCTATCGGTTCATTTTTAGTAAATTTAGTTTTTTAATAAAATATACATGTAATAATTTATTAATAAAATTTTATATTCATTCCTAATTAAATATAACTTATATAAGGCTTTTTATTTAATATATTGTAATTATCTTTAAAAATAAGAGTAAAATAAGAATAAATAAATTAAATGACTTTCTAAAAGAAAAAATAGACAACTAAATTTTGTTAGAGTTAATTATTTGAATACAATTTAGTATTTTCCAATCTCCAGTGATTATCAACTATAAAATTATTTGAATTTTTTGTTTCGATCCAATGGCCTGCAAACTAGAATCTATGGTGCCAAAAGAAGAAAAAAAATGTAAATAAGAATATTAATTTTATAATTTTTTTAATTTAATGATACAATTTTATTGATTTTTAATTAAAATGGTAAACTTTAAATTTTTTCTATTTAAGGGTATTAACATTACCTTTTTTATTTAAAAATTAATTGAATAATGATGTTTATACAGTAAATATAAAGTTGACATTTTTAAATAAAAATAAAAAATTAATATTTTTAAATAAAAAAATATTTTGGCAGAGGACTATAGTTGTTTACGAACGGCCAACTTGTTTTTTTTTATTTCGGCTCAATAGATTTTCTTTCAAACTATTTGTCTGGCTCCAAAGCCCAAAAGAAAAGATATTCTTTGGACTTTTAGGCCTGGAAATAAATAGCCTATTCATTTTTCTTGCCCTTAACAACGTCTCTCTTTCTTTCTTTATTATTGATTTAAGTCTCTATTTGGTCGTTTAATTTATAGATTATAAAGTTATTATTGGTTCTCACCAAAAAATTTAGGATTGTTACCCTTTAAAAATGTGATTTGGGTAAATTGACTCTTATTTAAGAAATTTGTGATGAAAATTTTCGCTTATTATTATTGTAACACGTCAAGCAATAAAGAGGATATTGTGCGGCATGTCAAATAATAAAGAGGATACTAATGTATTATTGAGTCGAATATGCATAACTAAACATGAGGCCAATAATCTTAAAATTATAAATTAGAGGGCTAAATAGGGGTTTAAGCCTTCATTATTTTATACTTACTAAAAAAAAATTTCAATTGTTTCCCTTTTTTTTTTCAAACCTACCAATTGGTGCAGAGAACAAGAAGCCGGGTGTAGTTTGTTTAGGCCAAAAAGAGAGTAAACAGATCATATAATCAAATTGTTAGTCACATAAATTAAAGTTTGATTAATGCTTTAAGTTCACTGTAGTACTTAGCAAGTTTTTTACAACCTAACATTTGGCGGAGAGAACAAGAAGCTAGGTATCGTTTGTTTAGGCCAAAAGGAGAGTAAACAGATCATATCATCAGATTGTGGATCACGTAAATTAAAGTTTGGTTAATGCTTTAGGATCACGGTAGTACTTAGCAAGCCATCTTTTAATGATCTTGACCTCCATGGAACGCTGCTCCACCAACCATTTTGGATCACTTTCACTTGAGATAATTATGTCCAAGCAGTGAAATCCTGCAAAATAAATCACACCAAATATATCATTCATCTTTTTTAATACAATTTTTTTTTTTTGCGTAATCTTTTTTTCATGCAAATTAACTGTGCACCATAGGTAACA